TATATATAGCGCAACCCCTCCTCCTCTACGCTTATCCCCCCTATTTCGTTTATACAAAGAATATCCTTCCAAATAAATTTCCGATGTCTCATTAAACCAGGTTTCTGTAATAGCAATTATTTGAGGATTTTTAAAACTACATAAGACCCGGTAAGTGTGCAAGGGTCTTGTCTCTCCCTAAATCCAATAAAATTTTGAAAAAATTTAACAAAGTTGCTTGTGAGAACCAATAGAAAGTTTTAAGAATATGAACAGATCTTTTTTAAAATATAAGGGGCGGCTGGGACACCCTAATATATATATATATATATATATATATATATATATATATATATATATATATATATATATATATATATATATATATATATATATATATATATATATATATATATATATATATATATATATATATATATATATATATATATATATATATATATATATATATATATATATATATATATATATATATATATATATATATATCAAGGAAAACACATCTTCAAGCACTATATAATTTATTTAATGATAACCAGCAAGAATACAGTTTGAACAGAAAGTGCATTCATTATTGCTAGACATACCTGTTAGAGCTACTATTATAGATGTTACTAGTGCTTTGCCTAAGCAATAAAAGAAAAAATCTGCTGGACCAGATGACTTGTTTATAAAATCATATATATATGGAGGACATAAACTGTCTCTCTATCTAAGTATTTTTTTTAATTTATGCTTGCTGTGTGGACATTTAACATCAACAATTTTTAAGGCCATGATAATATCTCTAGTAAAATCTAAAATTGGAGACAACAGATGTAAATAGTCACAGAGCAAATCACAATTTCTCTCGTCAGCGTTAGGGTTAGTGTTAGGGTCAGGGTTAGGGTTATCTATCTATCTATCTATCTATCTATCTATCTGTCTATATATATATATATATATATGTATATATATATATATATATATATATATATATATATATATATATATATATATATATAAATATATATATATATATATATATATATATATATATATATATATGTATATATATATATATATATATATATGTATATATATATATATATATATATATATATATATATATATATATATATATATATATATATATATATATATATATATATATATATATATATATATATATATATATATACACATTACTAATCTATATATAACAACAACATCAACAAAAAGCAATATATTTACCAGAAATATAGATGTTTTACATAAGAATGTTATAAGTTATAAAAAATATATATACAGTCTACATTCTAGATGGTTCACTCTCATATAGCTAGGCTAAATCGAGGAGAATGGCCATGAACAAAACAAAAAAAAAATACAAATAAAATAAATAGTACACTTACAGAAAGTTGCAATTAGTCAACATTCATATTTATATCTTAGACATTTTCTATGGTGATATATCTTTTATCACCAGTGGTACTACTGTTGTTTCAATTTATCTTGATGTAGCAATTAGTATTTTAATTTGGTTTTGAGGACATATTTTTTAATGTTGTTAAAAGAGATTGATTTTATTTTATTTTGAATTTGATTCAAGTTGGAGTTGGAGTTTTTATTGAGGATTTTGTATTATATCCCAGTCAAGGCGCAATATCAATGTGATATCAGAATGATATCAAATCCTTCTCAAGCTATGATATTGAATAATGATATCATTATGATATCATAGTGATATCATAACTTTGGGAAAGAAACTTATTATTTTTTTTTTTTTATTTGCATTCACTCCCAACAAGGCTGCAACCACTATTAAGTTGGGAGTTACTAGGAAAAAAAAGAACAGAGTTATAGAGCAAGGAAACGGTTGACAGAAGACTTGAAAAGTTGAAGGTTGTATGAGTCAGGAAAACATGAAGATGGGAGAGAGTTCCAAAGGATTGAAGTGCGGCGAAAAAAACTAGATGAATAAAAGTTTTTAGAGCATGCAGGGACAGATACAGTAAACGAATGAGACTTAGCTGAATGACGAGTAAAACGAGAATGAATTTTAGTTGATGGAACTAGAGATGATAACTCCTTTGAGCAGTGACCATGATAGTATTTGTAAAAAAGGGAAAAGGATGCAACTTTACGACGATGGGAAAGAGGTTCAAGCTTAGCAGATAGTCCAGGTCCAACAACATTTACAATGCATTTTTGGACCTTGTCAAGAAGAGAAAGTGAGTCGTTAGAAGAATCAGCCCAAATATGACAACAGTATTCCATACAGGGACGAATAAGAGATTTGTAGAGGTAGAGAATGGAATCAGAAGTAAGGAAATGGCGAGCACGATAAAGAGAAGCAAGCTTAGCAGAAGCTAATTTAGCAATCGATTTTATATATGGTTTCCATGAATAGTCAGTAGTAAGCGATAATCCAAGAAGGCGTAAAGAGGAGGACTCAGTATAGGGATTGCCATTCATTAATATAGGAATGTTGACCATATTACGGTAGTTGTTTGCAGTAAGCAATTGGGTTTTTTTAAAGTTGAAATTCACAAGCCACTGTGAACCCCAATCTATTACTGAAGTGAGATCAGATTCAAGATCAGCTGCTTGTTCTAGGCGATCAAAAAGAGAAGACTTTTTGTCAAGACAGGAGTATAAAGTTGAGTCATCAGCAAAAAGAGCTACTTTAGATGAAAGGTTGTCAGGAAGATTGTTTATGTAGATAAGAAACAAAACAGGGCCCAGGATGGAACCTTAGGGAATCCCAGAAGTTACTGGAAATAAAGAAGAGTGTTGGCCTTCAAGGATGACTTTAATAAACCGGTTAGAAAGAAATGATTTGATAATCTCAAAAACATTCCCAGAAACACCATATGAAGCAAGCTTATGGAGAAGACCAGCATGCCAAACTTTGTCGAAAGCTTTAGATATGTCAAGAGCAATAGCCCTAGCCTCACCGCCTCCATCTAATGCACGATAAAATCTTTCAGTTACAGCAGTTAGCAAGTCGGCCATAAAGCGAGAGGATCGAAAACCGTATTGATTGTCTGACAGTAGTTTATTTGACTCAAGATGAAATGTGAGGAATTTGTTGATCAAAGACTCAAAGAGCTTGCTAATAACAGAAAGAAGACTGATCAGACGATAATTGGAGGGGTCAGAATTTTTTCCAGAGGTTTTGAATATTGGAACCACAGATGCCATTTTGGCATCTGTGGTTCCAATATTCAAAAACTCTGGAGAAAATTCTGACCCTTTTCTCTAAACTTGTTAAATAGTTTAGAGAAAATTGAAGAAAGTTCTGGAGAACAATTCTGCAAGAGTGTGACAGGAATGTTGTCTGGACCACAAGCTGTAGACGAGTTTAATTGAGATATGACTTTAGCAACAGAAACAGGAGTGATTTGAATGTCTAACAATGGGTCAACCTGTTTGACTGGAATGGAAGGAAGAGAATGTCCATAAGATTCAAGAGTGTAATTAGAAGAAAAGTTCTTTGCAAATAGTTCTGCCTTATCCTTGGGAGAGGTAATAAGATCAGTCCCATGAATGAGAGATGGAATGTTAGATCTACCCTTGTTAATAATGCTGTTGAAGATTTTCCAAAAGTCTTAAGAGCCTCACTTCTGCGATAAGATGCAAGATTTAGTGAACTGAGAATAATGGAGTTTAGCATCAGAATGCACCTTTTTACATCAATTTCTTGCAATAATAAATAGCCGTTTGTTCTCAAGAGAGTTGTTCTTTTGAAAAAGATGAAAAAAATGATTTCGATTAGATATAGCAGCCGCACAAAAAAGAGAAAACCATGGAGTAGAATGAGGCTTGACTTGAAACCGATGAGAAGGAATAAAAGCTTCCATTCCAGCCTGAATCCAGGAGGTTACGTAGGAGGCGCATTTGTCAGCTGAGAGAGAAAAAAAACATCAGCCCAAGGACCATCACGAAAATAAATCACGAAAGGAATCCCAGTCAGCTTTAGGGTAGTAGTAGGTGGTGCGATGATAAGGTGAGCCAAAAAAAGAAGTACGAGAAGAAAGATTTATAGAGATCATTGCATGGTCAAAACCACCTAAGGGAGAAAAGGGAGAAACTGAACATAAGCTAGGGTCAGAGACAAGACATAAGTCAAGGAGTGAAGGTAAATGATTAGGGTTGTCAGGAAAACGAGTCACAAAGTTAACTATCTGAGTAAGAGATTGAGAAACGCAGAAGTTAAAGGCTTTAGTGCCAGCAGGATCAGTGGTGTTAGAGCCAAGCCATTCAGTGTGATGGGCATTAAAATCACCAACAACAACAATATTGGCAGTGGGGTAAATTTATAGCAGAATTTCATATATTAGTTATAAAGCACAGTAAAAGTTAAGTTTTTCTCTTTTAATGCCCAAATAGTAAGCTTTGATTAATGAACTCATATTATGATATCATTATGATATCAAGAATTTGTCATGCTGTGATATTAAATAAAAGTTGCTTACATTTATACTACTTTGTCGGAAAAAGTCTTACAAGAATTGATAATTACTTTCAAGATGACTGAAAGACATTCTAAAAAGTGTAAAGAAATGGTAAGAATGAAACTTTAAACTTGTTGTATCGTTAGATGCAATTTAAAAAAAAACTAAAATCTAAGTTGCATTTAAAATAAAAAAATTAACAAATGATTCAGCAATGCATGCAGAAAGACTTTTAAATTAGCATAATTAATAAACACTCTTTGTAACCATGTTGTAAATGTAGAAGTTGAAAATTCTGGTTGCTTAAATAAACAGTTAATAGGATTTAATAGAAGGGCTTAAAATCCATAATAATGGGACTTAAATCTATAAAAGAAGTTAGTAGGACTGAAATCCATAAATGCAGCAGAAAGGATTTAAGAACTTACCACCGATAGTAAAAACAGTATTCATGAAAGTAATAAAGATATTTTGCTGATATTTAGAAAAGACCTAGCCGGTGGACTGTTAAATATTCATTTCTCTAACAAGAGTAAGTACATTGTAATCACTTTTGTTTAGATCTTCCAGCACAAGTTATGACACTACTGAAAATGCCTTAAAATTCAGATGTTACTATAAAGTTAGGTTTGTAAATCTTCCAAGATATTTTATTTGTTTAAAAATTTTAATTTAAAATTTTTTTATTTATTTAAAAATTTAATTTTTATTTATACAATTTGATTTATTTAAACAATAATTTTTTTGCATAGAATACTTTGCTTTTGATATTTATTTGCAGTTATCTTATTTTTACTTAGTTGTCATCTTTTATTTTTTTTTTAACTGCATTTAGTTGTATCATATTACTTTTTTATTGGAATAGTTGTTGAGTATATGTATTTTAGGATAAAAGGTGGTAATAAAAAAAATTAAAGATGTATTTTAAGTATTTTAAGATCTAAGCAATAATATTTACTTTGTGAAGTTAGTCTTTAACCAAATGGTTTTGCAAGTGTCATGTTGACAATACTTGTGAAACCATTAAAGTTGTTGTAGCATCGTTTTGTGGATTACAGAAGTCAACTAGTTTAGAACACTTGAAAGACTTCCTGGGGGAGTTAAGAAATCTTAAAGGACATCCATAAAGTATGTATGCAGTAAAATCACTGATTAAGCAACCCCTTCCCATTGTACACACCTATATGCTATTTATGCCCTCTTTTCCTCTTACTGCATGCATAACCCTCTCTCCTCATACTTGCATGCATACTTCATGGAAGACTCCTCATGGTACATGCGGTAGTGGTGTAGTGGTAGAGTGCTCGCTTCATAAACGAGTGGTTCCGAGTTCGATCCTCACCACGTCCCTGGTAGTACCGCGCTCAACTCGTTTCTTCGCGCAGCGGCCTTGTTCGTCAAGGTTCGTGTTTCAGAGTTATAGAGTTGAGAGAGGGTTATAGCCACAAATAAGTAGCCTCCTCCTCTGTAGTGGCCTTCTCGGCCTTGAGGAGGTGAATTAAAATAAAAAATTAAAAATAAAAAAATGTCATTATTGATAATAATAGAAAAGACATATAAGAAAAGGTAAAATATTTTAATTTGTGATGAACCAGCTAAGGCTCTAATTTAATCCCTATAACAGTCATTATGGATGTGATAGTAAGGTGGAAAAAATCTATGATGGTTGAATGAATTTTTATGCCCACTGGTACTCACTGCTGAAACATTTAAAGGAAAAAGGTAGAAAAATCATCACATTAAATTAGATATGGCGCCGCAGTTCCCTCTCAACACAATTCAAGGTGCGGACCTTACTTGTACTAAAAATATTAATTTTATCTGAAAAAAGGGCTGCTTCAATTTGATTGTCATCTAGGCAAATTAATTTATTAGCTATTTACTTATGTTTTCATATGAATGTTTTCTTAAAAGAATACATTCATATGAAATTTAATTGTAATTTAGTTGTAAAACCAAGTCTAAAGTATATGAAGTTGTGAAAAGCATTTTCAGAACTTTTCTTTTATATTGTGGGCAAGTGGTTTCAAATCATATACTAAGCAAAGCAAAATAAATCCATTTTTTAATTGTTAGTTTAAGTGTAGCTATTCATACATTATTCAGAAAAGATTAATTGATTCAATAAGGTTATGTTCATGACCTTCTTTATTACTTTGAGAACAATGCCAGTGTGTTCTACTCTGATTATCTGTTAATTTATAACTTTCATTGTTTAAATCATTTAGCTTATGATATCAGCTAAAAGAATGATACGATATCCTTCTCAAGTCAAGAGCATTATCTGTAAAATAAATTTAATGCAAAGAATAACGAAAGCTGTTGCCTCAAGAGTGGATAATTTTGTTTAATTTTTTTAAATATTGTTTTTGTGTTTAAGTGTTGTTTAAGTGTTGATTTTATTAAATTTTTGTAAAGTTGAATGTTGAATACATCTTTTAATGAAATAGTATCTAATGTCATAAAAATACAGTTAACCCTTTTAGAGCCTTCATCATCTGTTACATTTGTGTGCGTGTTTGTGTGTGTGTATATATATATACATATATATATATTTGAAGTTAATAATATAGCCCTTTTTGATAATATAGTTCTTTTTAATAATTAGTGCTTTTTGATTGATAATATAGTCCTTTTTGGCGACACCTAACATTTTAATTGTTACAGATTAAATATTTTTGGGCAATGTTATAGAAAGAATAAAATAATATACATATGAATAAAACATAGAAAGAATAAAATAATATATATACATATATATATATATATATATATATATATATATATATATATATATATATATATATATGAATTTTCTTTATTGTTCTATATATTTTTATCTAGCTGTGTATATTGAAAAAATAGTATAAAAAATTTTTTTTGGTTATAATTGCAGTGTACTTCAAGATACAATGCTTTATGAAATCTTAATTAAGTTCAATTAAATGATGACAATGGCTCATGTCAGGTAAAACAGTAATATACAATACTAAAATAATAAATTTAAAATTGTTTTCAATCATCTAAGTTAATTGTATATATATATATATATATATATATATATATATATATATATATATATATATATATATATATATATATATATATATATATATATACATGCAAATGTGTTATTATTTATATTGTGGTACAATGAAGTGTTTTATATGTCTATGCTTTTTTCCAGAGTCTAGGGTGATCATTATTTGTTAAACTTTGTTGTTATATAATTGACAGCAGTGTTGATTTATATTATAGTATATTTGTTGATTTATATTATATTATATTTGTATTATAGTACCACTTGGTACTGATAAATTTTCAGAACAAAATTTATTTATACTTACTTCATTGTTCCCACAAGCATTACTTACTTTTACTAATTGTATATTAACATTTTAAAATAACAGACCATTAGAACTTTTTGAATTCTTTAAACAAAGTTAAATAACATAAAATCTTTTAGAAACATTTGGGGACTGCTTATTAGTGTTTTTTAAATACTAAGGTGTTGCTGAGGTAGGACTAGTTTTATGAATGTGTTTAAACTTTTACTGTAAACTTATACAAGCTGAACTAATTTTGCAACATTCTTCAATGCTTTTGTAAAAGTTTGAGATCTAATTTCAATGTCATTTTATTTTCTAGATTTTCTAGGTTTATAATTGCAATTTGAATTGCAAAGCAATGAAGCTTGTGTGATGGCAATAATTAACTCTTATCAGAAAAAAAAATTACATAACTTAGTATAAGACATATTTTCTCAAAAGATAAAAATTATTTTTATTTTGTTTATATTTAGGCAATAATTTACATTTTTTTTGGTGGCTAATATTTTTGTTTATTATTTTCAGCTCGCACCATTGTTTTCAGACAATAAATATATCTAAATTTTATTTGGAAAAGAAGTATAATGCAACATTCAAAAAGTTACTTTTAGATCAAGTCTGTATATCTGTCGAAAACCCGATTGTAAAGTAAAGTTAAAACAATGCTATAGCCCATATCTCTATCTTGTTGAATATATATCTGTCAAAGACTAATCTACAAATTTGTGACATTTTTTGTATTTCTTTTTGTTATTGCTTTACCTGAATATTTGCTATCTGTTATTTTTTTCAAATAAAACTTAATAATTATATTGACTTTTTTTCTAAGCTTTATGTAATATAATATTGAATTTATATTTTATATTTAAATATGATATTGAATTTATATTTTATATTTATATCTATCAATTTCACTAAAAATGTTTATTTATACAATATAATTTAACATTATTAAATAAATAGAAAATTATTTAAAATAATTATGAAACATTATTTATAAAAATATAATTAGTTAAAATAACAATAAAATATTTTTTTCAATAAATTATAATTAAATTAAATAATTAAAGCGGAAATATTATGGTAAAAAGTTTTGCATAAACTTCTCATATAATGATATCAAGTTTTAAGTTCAGAATGATATCATTGCATAATTTCATTTTGATAATATATTGGTATCACAAACTTCTCATATTATGATATCAGGGTTTGAGTTCAGAATGAGATCAATGAGTGATTTCATTTTGATATTAAAGGTCTCATATCATGGTATCATATATATCATAATTTGATATCATTATGATATCAATATGATATCAAATTCCTGACTGGGATGTTTGCACACTAAGTGTACCTCTACAAGAATTTTTTGTATGTTGACAGCTAATTGTACTGCGTAGAGTAAACTTTTTTTTAGATATATGAGGTAGCTTTTTGCAAATTGCAGCTGTGAATAAATAAATAAGTTTCAATTTTGATTATATCATGCAGTTTTAATATTTGTAGTGCATTAAAAGATGTGAATGTATGTGAATTTTTTGTTAGAAATTCAATAATCCTGATTGCTTTTTTCTGATAAATAGGTGATTTACAATACTTATGTCTTGACTCCATGATAGAAGGCAATATGTGAGGTGAGAGTGAAACAAAGCATAGTAAATAGATTTTAATTTTTTTTTTGTATAAAATATCTTAGCTTTGACAAAATGGCAAGGGATTCAACTTATTAGATAAATTGTTATAATGGTAAAAAAAATTTTTGCATCAAAGTTTTTTCTCATTTAGAGTTAATAATTTTTGATATTTTATTTTTGTCAGTAGTTTTTATAAAGAAAGATTTTTGACAAGGATTTGATGAGTAATATGTGAAATGATTCATGGATGAAGGAATTGTTTCCTGGACATTCTTACCAATGTTTGTAAAGTAGTTGTTTTACCAATGTTTATTTTACCAATCTTTGTAAAGTACATTAAATTTTATTGTATTTTAAAAAAAACGGCAATAATAATGACTAGAAAGTTTTTTTTAATTAATGGTGTTTTTGTTGTTATTTTATTAAAATATATTTTTAAAACATGCGCGGAGTGTTGCTACATTGACTATCTTATAGCCTGGCGCTGTTACATCCTACTGAAGTTTTAACTTTTTTAATGTTACTGAAGTTTCATATTGTGTTAGTCATTTCATGTTTAATATTGTATAAAAAATACTAAAGTTTTCATTTGTGTTAATTCTACTGAAGTTTCATTTTGACTTAATCCTTTTAAAAATACATTTTATGTTTAAGTTTGGAGTTTTTATATTTTATAAAACCTGCTGAAGTTTCAAATTAAGTTAATCCTTTTTGAATTTCACCTTGTTGAAGTTTTATATTGTCTAAAACCTACTGAAGTTTCAAATTGTTTTAATGCTACTAAAGTTTCAATTTGAGTTAATCTCTTTTATTTTATTTACAAAATTTATAAAATATTAAAACATTGCAAAATATACTAAATAAGGCTTTTTTTGTTTATTAACCTTGTTTATTATAATTAGGATGATGTAATTTAAATAAAAGGTGCAAGAAAATTGAGCTAAAAATTAAAAAAAAATGTGTATTAAAAATTCTGATGCATTATTAACTAAACTAATGATGATACTAAAGAAAGGTGTATTGAAATTCAACAGAGTGCTGGTGTTAAAAAAAAGGTGTATTGAGATTCAACAGATTGCTGGTGTAAAACATTTATTTTCATTTGGGTTATGAGATACATACTATAAAGAAAAAATGTAAATAGTTGTGATTTTTATAATAAATTGTTATTTCAGATTCAAATGAAAATCACTTTAAAAATAAATAAATGCTAAAAAGGAGAGAAAAGCAAAAAAGTTCATTTTGTTTTAAATTTATATTGTTTTATATTGTGCTAATCCTTTGAAGATTAATATTGTTTAAAACCTAATGAAGTTTAATTTGATTTAATCCTTTTGAAGTTTCATTTTTTGTGTTAATCTTTATAAAACTTTATGTTGTGTTAATGCAACTGAACATTTTTTTAAAAATACTGCAGCACTTAAATGATTACAAAATAAACTTAATAAGGTTTCTATATATATTTTGTTGATCCTACTAAAGTTTTACATTGTTTTAATGATATTGAAATTTTATATTGTGATAACCCTTTGATGTTTAATACTATTTAAAACATACAGTATTTTCATATTGTGTTAATGTTACTGAAGTTTCAATTTGTGTTAATCCTTTTAAGGTTTCATTTTGTGTTAATTCTTATAAAACCTTATATTGAGTTAATGTTAATAAATTTTGTTTAGTAATACTGCAGTACTGGTAAAAATAAAAAGCATACAAAAGAAGGTTTTAGTAATTATTTATTGATCCTCCTAAAGATTTACACGTTTTTAATGTTACTAATGCTTTATATTGTGTTCATCTTTTGATGTTTAATGTTGTGTAAAACTTAGTAAAGTTTCATATTGTGTTAATTCTTCTAAAGTTTAAATTTGAGTTAATTCTTTCAAAGTTTCACTTTGTGTTAATCATTGGAAGTTTTATATTGTATAAACCACACTGAAGTTTCATATTGTATTAATGGTACTGAAGTTTTAATCTGGGTTGATCCTTTTGAAGTTTCACTTTGTGTTAATCCTTTGAAGTTTTATATTGTTTAACTCCCACTGAAGTTTAAAATTGTTTAAATGCTACTGATGTTTCAATTTAAATTAATCTTTCGAAGTTTTACATTGTGTTAATCCTTCAAAGTTTTATATTGAATAACACCTACTGAAGTTTAAAATTGTTTAAATGCTACTGATGTTTCAATTTGAGTTAATCTTTTGAAGTTTCACTTTATTTATAAAAATTAGAAATTTTTAATACAATATAAAATATACAAAATAAGTTATTTTTTAGTAATACTTCAGTACTTGTAACATTACAAAATATTCAAAATAAGGTTTTTGTAATAGTGGTAATGTAATTTTAATAAAAGATGCAAGCAGAGCCAAAAATAAAACAAATGTGTATTATTAAATCAAAAAAATTTTTTTTTTTAGATTCTGATTTTATTATTTTAAACATGGAAACTAAAGAATTAAAACAAATGAACTAATAGTGGTTTTAATAAATGGTGTATTGATTTTATAAGTGTGCTGGTAAAAATTTTTTTTTATTGTTTTATTTGTTTTTTGTTATAAAAAACTTACTTAAAAGAGTAAATATAGTTCTTGTAAAAAGTTGTGATTTTTATAATAAACTGGTATTCCAGATCTAAATAAAAATCAGTTTGAAAATAAAGTAATTGCTAAAAATAATGAAAATCCAATAAAAGAAAAAGAAAATAAAATGAATTAGTAATATTGCAAAATTTACAAAATTAAGTTGAGTACATATTTTTTTGATCCTACTGTAGCTTTTTAAAATTGTTTTAGTATTACTAAGGATTCATTTATTGTTAGTGTTACTAAAGTTCCATTTGTATTCTTACTGAAGTTTTATATTGTGTTACTCCTTTGATGTTCAATATTGTGTAAAACCTACTGAAGTTTCATTTTGAGTTAATCTTTTTAAAATTTCACTTTATGCTAATTATTTGAAGTTTTATATTGTATAAAACATATAAAATATAAAACATAATCATTCAAAGTATTATATTGTATAAAACTTAGTGTTTTAATGTTACTGAGCATTTATTTTGTGTTAATGTTACTAAAGTTTCATTTTGTTTTAAATTTATATTGTTTTAAATTGTG